CTGACTTTCCGTAGCCGCGAACAAGAGCCCCGGAGGGGAAAGGCCGCCTGAAACAGGAGCGGCCACCCCGTGGGGTGAGGCGGGTGCCCTGTGGCCCAGTGCCAGCCCCGGGCCGGGCGCCGGGGGGGGTTTCTGCGAAGCGCGTGCCTGTGCGCGGCGGGGGGGGGTCACCACAGGGTGGGGGGGTGCGTGAGTGTGAAGGGGTTTCGTTACAGGACTCTGTGTGTGCGAGGGGGTGTCACCGCAGGACTGTGTGTGTGTGCGTGCACACGCGTGACGGGGGGTTCATCACAGGACTGTGTGCGTGTATGTGAAGGGGTTTCACCACAGGACTCGTGGGGGGGGTATTTCACCACAGGATAGTGTGTGTGTGTGTTAGAGACAGGGTTTCACCACAGAACTCGGTGTGTGTGTTGTGTGTGTGAGGGGATTTCACCACAGACCTCGTCTGGGTGGGTGTGTGCGCGCGTGCGTGGTTCAGAGGACTGTGTGTGACTGTTACGTGTGTGCACAGCTCCCCCAGGAGTGTGCGTGTGTGTTGTGTGTGTGAGGGGATTTCACCACAGAACTCTTGTCTGTGTGTGTGAGTGGGAGAGGGTGTGTGTGTAAGGGTGTGTAGGGGGAGTGAGGGGGTGTGTGTGTATGTGGGAGACAGGGTTTCACCACAGAACTGTGTGTGTGTGTTGTGTGTGTGAGGGGATTTCACCACAGAACTCTTCTGTGTGTGTGTGTGTGTGTGTGTGTGTGTGTGTGCGCGCGTGTGTGTGCGCGCGTGTGTGTGCGTGTGTGCGCATGGCTCAAAGAGGACTGTGTGTGAGACTGTGTATGTGTGTGCACAGCTCTCCCAGGAGCATGTGTGTGTGAGGGGATTTCACCACAGGCATCTTCTGTGTGTGTGTGTGAGGGGATTTCACCACAGGCGCGCGTGCGTGCGTGTGTGTGTGTGTGAGTGAGGGGATTTCACCTCAGGTGTCTTCTGTGTGTGTGTGAGGGGATTTCACAACAGGCGTGTGTGTGTGTGAGGGGATTTCACCACAGGCGCGCGTGCGTGCGTGTGTGTGTGTGTGAGTGAGGGGATTTCACCTCAGGTGTCTTCTGTGTGTGTGTGAGGGGATTTCACAACAGG